GATCAAAAAGTTAGTAAATGAATGGGGTTTTTTAGACATATTTTTTAAAAGGAAAAAATTTTATCGAAAAAAAAATTATAAGAAAAAATGTCATAGGGGTTGATTATTTCAACCCCTTACAAAAATAGTTCAGGGTTGAAAAAAATTCAAAAAGTGTAGTTTTATTGACAGATAATGTTCACCAAGTTTGGTTTCTTTAGCTTGATGTACATGGAAGATAAAAAAGAAAAATAATTTTTTTTTGTAATTTTAGGACAATAATAAAATTAATTAATTTTCATCGTTTACATCCTAAGCTACTTAACATTTTGCGCCTGTTAGCCGTAGTCGTACATTATTCAACATATCAACATAAAACAAAATCGTACGTGTGGGGTAAACCTTTAACTTTTCATTTTCGAGCGCGAGCTCCGCTCTTCGGCGCTTGTATATTATTAGAAATGCAACAGTAAATTTAAACAGTTGTTTACTTAAGGTTAAAGGTTTACCCCACACGTACGTTTTTGTTTTATGTTGATATGTTGAATAATGTACGACTACGGCTAACAAGCGCAAAATGTTAAGTAGCTTAGGATCTAAACGATGAAAATTAATTAATTTTTTATTGTAGGTAATTGTGCTGGTTAATCTACCGTGATGGAATATTTTATAAATATACATATACATTTTTCCAAAAATAAAAAAACGGTGACGTATAAAACTAGGATGACGTATAAAACCTTACCAAAACTGCAAAAATGAAGATAATTGAATTTTGCAAATTGCTTTTGGTTTCTGCATATTTACACTATGTGTATATAAAAAAAATGACGATTAAATTGTTAATAACTTTTTTCCCGATAAAATACTTTGTCAGCAAATTAGCCTGTTATTGTACTCATCATTTAAAGTAGACCTGTGCAGTTATTTCCGGGTTATCAAGAAAATGTCACCAACAGTAACTTTTCGGCCTCTGCCGACAGGAGTACTAGTCTTTGTTCAATAAATTAATGTTCAAGACAGACTCTCGATCGTATCTCTGATATAGACTTATACAATAATTTTATAAAAAATTTTATGATTTTAATAATAAATCCTCCATCTAGATGTCAAAAGTCAAAACACAAAAGACAAAGCTCTTTAGTTTGTATATATTCAAGAATTTATATTTGCAAAAATGATTGGTAGATTAATTTTCTATTAGATAGATATTTTTGGGGATTTATATTGTATGTGTGTCTAAGCCAGAAACAAATATTAACCGGATGAACCAATATTGGCAATATTGGGAAGATTTATATCAGTCTACGATTGAAACCAGAGGCTCAACCTTCCCTTTCTCTTTTGCTCTCTTTATCTCGCTCTCGAAAAGTTAGAAATATATAAAGGATACAAAAAATGTGAATGCTGTAGCCTTGCTAAGCTCCAATTAATAATAGAGCCCGGGCTATTATACGTATACAGACAGAGCGGTCCAGACTTTAATAAAAAAACTTCACTATGAGATGCAACAAGTTATTAGGGATGAAACATCAACCTTTAATAATGTATATTACTTGCTCATATTTTATCTATCTATACCAAACATCCTCTACACACAGGTTTCCAAAATTAAAGATTTAATTTTATAATATTGAGTATTGTTATTAATAACAAACTTTTATTGACAAGGGATGTAATTATAAGTCTTTTAAATATTATACCACTTTTCTGTGAAGAAATTTTATTAAAAAAAAAAATAATATTGGAAATTTACTCAATGCGAAATACAGGACTCAAAAGTTTAATTTTTATTTCCCGCATTCACTAACAAAAAAAAGTGAGAATATGCCTTTTCTAGCGATCTGTAGGAAAATTATTTTCATTAAGAATTAAAATAAACACTGGAATAATAAAACTTGCAACGTTCATCCGAGAATAGCATATTTCTAAGTCATCGTTTCTGTTAACTGTGGGAGGCAGTTGCTAGCTCCATTAATATTTATAATAAGTACTTAGAAATCTCACTGAGCTGAAGATAACCTTAGTCATATTTTGTTGTTGGTTCGCAAGCTTACGACTATACATAATTTGAATTAATACGGCATTTTAATTTACCCACATTTTCTAAGGTAACTTGAAGTAGTGCAGGCAAAAGCAAAAAAAAAATTCGTTTCTACAAACGAACATTACTTAACTTTATTAATAGGTTCTTAAATAATAAAGTTGTATTCATATGGCGTGCTTCTATTTTAAGTTCAAGTTATAATTTTAAAAATCCTTATGAACCAAGGGTGTAAAGTCACTGCACTGCGATATCCAGGATGTTGAAGTTAAAAAAAGATGTCTCATTTACTCAAACATCTCCAAGAATATCGAAAACTAGTGGTTTGAGATGAGATCCTTGGTTCATTAAGACTCTTCTGGTTTTATGTAACACAAGAAATAACTAAAATTAAAACAGAGTACCCTATACCTGTATATACTTCTAAAATTCAACAAATATTTATTAATATGTATATTTGAAATGGTTTATAAAGAATTTAGACTAAATAAGGTGATATAGCCATTAAAACGAAGTTCTTTTTTCAACACCGTTTTCTTTTATAGTTGCAAAGATATGAAGGAGCTTCTACAATCTATGGACCACACACTCTGACCATATACCTAAAATTATACAATAACTTGGCTGCATCATTGGTTACGGTAAGAAATTGTTATTTTTTTACATAAATGTTGTTTTGGATGTTGTAACAAAATAATAAATCATTAATATGAAGTGTAAAATACTGACTGACCGTCTCGTCTAATTATCAAGAAATGAAATTAATTAAATATGCCCTTGGACTAAAGAATTAGGCAAGGATTATATACATGAAACAATTTTTTACATAATTAAACACACTCATACAAACTCAATTTTTTTCATTTTAAATATTATGGGCACATTTTTGACCAAATAGTCCATCAAATATTATTTATCTGAGAAACTGTTCTAAATGGTAAATGTGTGCTACTTCTCCTAATTTTTTCGACAATGCAGGAATACATAGGTATAGAATTTTTATAGTGTATATAATTTCCCTTTGTTGGCCTACAGGAATTGTTTTATGAATTTTGTGAATATAATAAACTACAAGCAAATCTTTGAGAGTTCTAAATACATAACCGTTTTTAGATTTTGACCATCTGCTACTAATTACATTCTGTGACAACTTTTTTGAGGTTAATTTTTTTACAGTGAATGTATTATACAGCAATGTAAAATTTCATTATACATAAATGACTATTTTTGTTGAAATTACCGAAAACGCGCCATTTTTAAGTAAATCGCAAATGACTGTTCCGAAGTCCCAACTTCATTACTTTTTTTAAGAAAAATAAAATTTTACATTATAATACAAGATATATGCTATAAAAAACCCTAATCTCAAAAAAGATTGTCAAAAAATATCACTGAAACAACTAGCGCCATCTAGCAGATCCGGTAGCGAATTTCTATCCAATTTGTTATTATTATTTGTTGGAAAATATATGGTTAAACTTTGATTTTATAAAATCGTTTTTGATCCTGCTCGTCTCAAAAACACGAGATGATAGGTCCATGGAAAAAATGCTTTAATTTATTGATGTTCTATCACCCTCTTTGTGTTTTACACCCATATCTGCAATACCCTATATACAGGGTGTTTGCAAAAGTTGGTACAAAATTTAAGGAAGTAAAAGTAGAGCCAAAAATGGTAAAAAAGTTCCTAAAAACATTGGTCCTTCGGTGCACCGTTACTGTGATATGGCCCTCCAAAGGGGTCTTATCCTTTGGATATTTTTTAAAATAACTTTCTTTCTGATTAAGACAATGGAATGAAAATTGTAGGTAATAATCATACCATAAGGGTCTTTAACTATCATAAGTTTCATCAAGATCGGTTATAAATAAAGATAGTTTTCTAACTACCCTTTCCAGAAAATTTTCGATTTTTTTTTTCCTTTGAATTATTAAGCAAACAATATTATTTTTTAATAAATTAGATTTTTTTGAAGGAAAAATGTCGATACTTTTATTTTCGAATTATGCGTAGTTTAGTTAGAAATAATTATTTTTAAATAATGTATAGCTCAGAACAGTAACTTTTTTTAACATTTTCATGTAGTAGGCACCTTTCTTGGTTTTGTTGTAATGATACTAATGACTGTCACTTTCGCGTGCTATCATTTAAATTATTACGTTTCTTAGTTGTGATCTTTGTGCTTGACTTTGCATTTCATTCGATTTTTTTACAACCATGAAATGCAAAGTCGAGCACAAAGATCACAACTAAGAAGATAAAGAAACGTAAGAATTTAAACGATAGCACGCGAAAGTGACGTTCTGGCTGAAGTACGCAGAATTCGAAAAAAAGTAGAGAAATTTTTTCTTCAAAAAAGTCTAGTTCATTAAAAAATAATATTATTTGCTTGATAAGTCAAAGGAATAAAAAAAATTTGAAAAATTTCTGTTAATGGTACTTCGAAAACTATCCTTATTTATAACCGATTTTGATGAAACTTATGATAGTTAAAGACCCTTAAGGTATGATTATCATCTACAATTTTCATTCAATTATCTTAATCAGAAAGAAAGTTATTTTAAAAACTATCCAAATGATAAGACCGCTTTGGAGGGCCATATCTCAGTAATGCTGCTCCGGAGGGTCAATGTTTTTTTTGCCATTTCTGGCTCTACTTTCACCTCCTTAAATTTTGTACCAACTTATCCAAACACCCTGTATACATATAATTTAGTTAGGTTAAGTCAGGGTAAAAGTTTTTTATACAATACAACCCTAGAAATATATCAATGCTCTGATGTCTATTTCTAACATATTCAAATAAGTTCAATTCACCCACATCAGGGTATCTTGACGTGTTTGTTAGGGACTTTAGTTTTTTGATTTGTAATATTGCTGCCTTGAAAACTCAAATTATAGACAATGTCAAAGGTAAGACGGAATTTTTTGTAAGGTTCATTGTTCTCAAAATAGGGGTTGCGATATAATATTTTATTTTTAGAATACAGCATTATTAATACCAACAATAATTTCACTTTGATCTTTATTCAACTTGTTTTCGATGTCCTTGGGTGAATAAGCACTGACCAGGGATGTATAGTCCAGTTGTCCCAGTCAAAATTATATTTAAAGGTGACATTAATTTCGAGGTGTACAATTGTTTATAAGCTGTTGTTTTTTTTGCTAGTAAATGAGGAAAAAATGTTCTACACGGGAGCGGATCGCGAAATCGGCGGGAAACTACAAAAAAAAACGTATTTCGTGAATAACTTGAAAAGTATTAGGAATTTCACAAAAACGCAAAGGATCAAGCGTTTAAAAATTCCCTACAAAAAAGGTTCTTACTGATTTTCTCGTACAGTGCGTTATTTAGAAGATATTTAGGGATTTAGATAAAATTACGATTCTTATGCAAATTAGCCAAAAAAAACACGTATTGCAAAGCGGCGCTGCACTAAATGTGCGACTACTCTTTCGTTTCTTGATGAAAATGCACGAAACAAAGTTTGTGCATTTCAAAATCATACACCTTGTGAAATGATATGGAATAGAAATGTCACAACAAACGAGGCAAGATTACAATTAATGATTAAGATTGAAGGTTTATGAATTTACGGATTAACGTTGTATGTCTTCAGGGTTTATGGGCTTTGATGTAGGTTTAGGATCTGTATGTTTGAAATTTGTGTACGAAAGTAAAAAGTATGAATTTACAACTGTATGGAATGAAGGTTCATGAATTTATGAATTATGGGTTTAGGGTTATCGGCTTGAGTTTAGGATTTATTAGTTAGGTGGATTTAAAGTTTACGGATTAAAGTTGAATGTCTTCAGGGTTTATGAGTTTTTAGGTTTTGATATAATCTCTATGGGTTTAGAGTATGTACATTTAAAATTAATGTACGAAAGTAAAAAGTGTGAATTTACAACTTTCCAGCGTTATATTTCATTTACCTATACCACGTCCTTACTTTATGCAGACATCCGTAAAAATAAAGTCTCTTGAGAATTAAAGAAATTCAAGCAACTTCATCTACATGCATTTCTGTTTACAGGATAAAGCTGTACAGGCAGGACCGCCTCCGGCAGAGTTCCCCGACAACCTACTGACCCTCGTAACCCCAGTGCTGTTCGATACAGCCGGCTTTTCTGGCGACTTCGGCGATTGCACCGAAGAACCACCTTCTACCGTCAAGATCGGGGACACGGTCACTGTGAAATTTGTAAGTACACACTCTCGTCTCTGATTGAATCTAACGCGCGCGGGGTAAAGAAGGGTAAAAGGGCAAAGGGCACATCAGCACCGCTCAGTGAAGCACCCTTGAAACATGTTTGTTTCGTCTTGATTTGATTTCAGTAACATTAATTTGTATTTTCCTTCAGGTTTCCTTGCTTTAGATAAAATCCAGAACAATTAATTTTTTTGGATCGCGAAATGAGTAAACGGTTTAGGTATGTAAAAGGGAACGATAGTTCTTGTGTAGGGCTTCAATTTTTTTCTTTTTCAAAAAATTACTCAGTCAGTCTTCAGTATTTTCTAAAACAATGAATTTTGATAAAGAAATAAAGATTTATAGAAAAAATTGCAAAAAGAACTAACTTTACTAGTAAAATAAACATTTTACACATAAGTGCAAAATAGTACTTATATCGTGTAACTAGTATGAAATTGGCACTTTTCGTACGACTGGATGGTTTGGTGACAGGAGTAGTAGGTGAGGCTCATAAAATCACACGTGTTGTCTACTACTTTGCACGCGACAACAAATTTCCGAGATTCAGGGAATCGCGGATACATGGCAGAATTTAGAAACAAGATTATTACCCGTTAAAAACTAACCTCGAGACTCTAAAGCCAAAGAGACCGGACGATCTGGAGATCCAAGGAGATCTTCTTGGCCGGAATCTCATCCGATTTCGACACTCTTACCCCTTACTGACAAAAGTTTTGCAAATTACGACCATCCTGATTACTTTATTCGGCGACTCTAAAGCTACTTGAAAGCCCTATAAGTATTTGTTGCCTAATAGGGGCTAATTGGGTTCCAAACATCCAACAGCTGCCCAATAAATTTGACCGCGTTTTGGGTTTTGTTACAGGACGATTGAGCATAAATTAGCGAAAATCCAAAATGAATTCACGTGCAAGAAAAGTTAGTGTTAGTGGACAATGGTCAAGGTGTTGACAAAATTTAATTTTAAACACCTTAAATTCGACTGGTTGTAAGACATATTTCTCAATGGCCTTAATTATACTTTCGCGTCCTATTCTTGAGGTTTTTTATTTTTTCATATTCTTTTAAGATTGCTGGCCATCCTAGAAATGATCTGATGACGGAAAAGACGTTCCTCACTGTGGAGAAACAAGACGGAGATGACTGGACAGTTGTAGCTACGGATGCCAACTGGGAAACTAGGTATGTATCTAGAAATTTTAATACTTTTTATTGAAAATAAGAACTTATTAGCTTTAGCTATTTACTGGTTTCATAAAACCTTCAAAGGGAATCTTTCCAGCAACTCGAAATATAAAAAACAAAGTTGCTACACGGGGCTTTCCATTTGAGAGGACATCTGTAAAATATAATAGTACAGAATCAAAAACTCGTTACTTATAAGTACAGAACCACGGGGACGCAGAAGGAATACCTCGTCTGTACATTTAGAGGAATGTCTTTTAGCGGTTTTATTTTTTCACGATAATTGATTCTGGCTTTCAAACTGATTCTTTGAACCGAACCAGAGAAAAATATTCCACAGAAGTTGCCTTCGCACAGAAGCAATTTTCCACGAATAGCGTCTACATTTTACCTTACCTCGCATCTATTCCTGACCAGATGTATACCTGTCTTAAGGAAAAGCAACACTGAAAGCAGTATCGACTAATTTATATATTTATTGATTTCAATAAAATATCCAGTGACAAGGACAAGTATGGGCAATTCTAACATAAAATTATAATATAATACAATGAAACAATACAAACACAAAAAAATACATATTATGACTAGGCTTAGTGCGGAGCGGAGTTTAACAGGACCGTAGTCAGATTACAAATGAAAATATGAATATGTTTACAGAAAAATGTCGCAACATTAACAAAGAGCAAAGCTAAGTAGAGGATAAAATACCTTTATAAATTTAAATGACATCTGACATCACTTACCCGATGAACCTTAGTGTTGGGACAAGGTTTCCCTGGCATATTGGAAGGAGCTAAAACATATTACTACGTGCTTTTCTAAGTTTTCTTTAGTGAAACGGCGACGTTTATCACTTAATATTAACTTGTGTAGGGAAAATAACCATTCAACGTCTACTGTTGACAACAGACAGTATGAGAATTTGTTGAAGCATGAACTATGTATTAATATATTTACTGGTAACTCCTGATACGTACCAGATAAAACATTATAAATGTTTTCCAAAATGATGTATCCTGGATCCAACACTCTTTGCATTTTTTCTTTTATCGCACCACTGACTGGGTGTTGGTGTATATTATTGGCATCGTATATATTTTTTTATACATCATCCATTATATCAAATTGTTCATTTAGGGATAGTCCATGTGATTCCAATATATGGAATTACGGAACTTGGGGTTCTGTAGTTTGTTTAATGGAATATTGGCTTGAAAGAAAGGCGTCTGTAAATTTATAGAAAAATGTCTTGTCACTTTAGTTTTGTCACAAGCATTTATAATGCTTTCACACACAGTACAAAACAGGCCATTTTCTTTAATACGTATGTTCCTGTAACCTTCGGGATCACTCAAACCACATTTGAATTAATTCCCGTCTATTTCTCTTCCCTTTTGGCATTTTACTTCACTTTTTCCCCCCAACTAATAGCTGTTAATGTAAATTATGTGACTATTTATAAATAGTAAACGTAATTTAAATACACACAATTTACAGCAGACGTAAAAAAGAAAGGTGTCGACGCGACACCAACTACTACAAAGTTTCGTAGATAACTGGACAGTTCAAAACGCGAGTCAGCTGTGAAGGCCACCGACCCCCGAGCCGGCTCTGTTAAACTCTGCACGTGCACTAAGTCTAGTTATGACATATCAAACAGACACTATAACAACATGATAAAATAGATAAAAAATAGGAGATAGCAACGGTTTATGTCCTTGCAAACAGGTTTTAATATCTTGCAATCTATTGTGGCAGTTATATCTTGGTATTTTAAATTTAATATCAGATTAAGATGCTCCACATTTCATATTACAACGAAGAACTTTGTAAAGGAAAGTTACCGAGAATGTATTTTATGTCCTTTTCCTAGGGATATCTAGATATCTAGATATACTATAAAAATAGCTGACTTAAAAGATCTTCGCTGAATCCGTTCTATTAAAGTGCCATAAGACATGTAATTTAGACACCATACCACTAATTCAAGTTATGAACTGAGATACATTTTGAATAATAGCCGCAATATGTGGGGATTCGTAAAATCCTAAGGGTTTCGGATAATAAAATCGAGACTACGTGTTCAAACATACTTTTATGTGCTTCGAGAAGTGTAGTCTGAAATTGAAAACAATGTCTAGGTCTTTCATCTCAGATGACATTTTAAAAATATCACCGTAGCAATATTTTCGGCTAAAGAGCCGGTATAAGGCCGGCCTGTTTTTTGATTGTCTGCAACCGAACCTGTTTGAACAAAATTAGCAACTTTGTTTCATTCGGACCGAAAATTTCACTTAATTTGTGAACAGTCTCAGCTACACACTCTCCGTATTTGTAATGAATTTTCATAATCTTCACTCAACATCAGTTATATAGCGCTACATTTTGTCTAACCGCAATATCCGAAACAAAATTTGAAATATTTTATACTGAATTATAAAGGATCCAAACAATATTTTCATTGTTTGTTTTGTCTTCAAGTGCATAAATATACGTAACTTTTTAGCACAGCCCAGTTCGTATCTCTCGCGGTTTATGAGTGGCGATAGTGGCAGATGAAAAACGGTCCACCTAGTACATTTTAATGAATTAAACTTCTGTTTCAACTTAAATTACATTGTAACTTCCTGCAGATTCACATGGAAGAGATTAAATGTCATAGAGGGTACCAGCGAGGTTGAAATAAGATGGGACATAAAGGACGACGTGGAGTCGGGTACCTACAGAATAAGACACTTCGGCAACTATAAAACCGCCCTTGGCAATATCCATGCCTACCAAGGCACCACCAATACCTTCAAAGTTGAGGCCTAATGGGCGTAGCGTAATTTTGAAGTTCGGGTTACTTATGTGATTTACTTAAGTATTATCTTGCCAAAAATAAAATATGTAATAATCAAGTCTTATTTTTTGTAATCAACGAATCTGAAATAATAACACATTTCTAGGTTTCACAATCAACTTTGTAATAAAATTTTATGATTTTTTACATTTCGATACATTTAAGGAGGTTTATCAGGTACGGAGGTACATCTAAAGTCTAACGAGAGTTTCTGTAGATTCGCTAGTGACTAGAGTAGTAAGTCTTTAGATTTGTCAACGTTGCACTTCGTGCAACAACGGCGTTCGCTCGCTAGCTGTTTGCTTGGACACCTGCAAATTTCAAAGAATACGCTGCGTCGAGACCGCGGCATTGCCGCTATCACGCATATGGAGGATAAGTTAGTCAACGACAGCAGTTTGAAGGAGAATTATTATAAATTATGTATCTTACAAGTACCTAATCGATTTCTACGAGCTATCATACGGTCCCTCAGATATCGGTTTCCTATTTATACAGGTTGCTGTGGAAACTGTTCGTCAATTGTTGCGCATTCTAAGTGGAAAGACCAAAAAAGTCTGCATTCTCATAAGACTTCGTACTAAATCGTGAAAAATTATTTTATTAATATATCGTCTCTTAGGTATCCAAACTAGTCATAATTTTGTTTGAGGATTTTCTTCATATTAATAAGCTTATATTAATTTTTTTATGAATATTTATTTGTCAATTCCAAATCAGATAAACCTCCTTAAGGTAATTTGTTATACTGACATCGGTCATTCAGGAATATAAAGGTGATTTTGAAAGGTTACAACAAGAGTTGTAATTTTAAAACACAATTTAAAGTCATCCGCATAAGGGCAATATCGAACGCTCATGTCTGTGTTAATATTTTTGGAAAACATTATATAAAGGAGAGGGTCCAGAACCGAACCTTGTGAAACACCTGAAGTCTGAGAAAACAAAATAGACTAGAAACCACTAGATCGCACAAAAAAACTATTCCAAAGGTAAGAATGAAATATATTCAACAAAACATCGTAAATGCAAAATGTATTGGGAAGATTTGTTAACAATCATTGTCTTGGAGAAGTTTGTTTTAGTGGTTGTGTTAAGGATCGAAATTTTCTGCCTAATTCCTGCTAACTTGTTTCTGATATCTGTTGTTGCACTTTTGGTCACCTAATAATTTTCGCCAACGTTTTGAATTTGTTCGTATCTGAAGGATTCGAATAATTGCTTATGTTTCTATTCACTGCTTTTGTTCTGTACATGTTGTGCCTTTAGTGTGATACCACTGAACGCTACAATTTGATCAACCTCATCTTGTCGGAGAGATGCGCAGTGGCAAAGAGAGGAAACCTTAATAGTAAGGTAGGTAGCTTCTTGTGCAATGTTATGCATAGCGATGTTTACCGTTCGACGTTCATACAGAGAACGAATTCCGATGATAATCTCCTGGAGCTGGAGCTCGTAATACGTACGATGGCTAGTTCGTTCATGGAAATAAATACTTAGTATGTCTGTAGAATAGAAGTCAGGACTTGGTGGCGTCGAGGATTTGGTCAGAATTGGATCACGCCGGAAAGGATGGTGAAAATATTTACATCCGAAGCGCTTTGGATCTATTGGCGGCTTGCGCATCATGTTTGTCTCAGCATTGTGCTGAGTGGCCACAAAGCGGTGTTTCGGTTCGTTCGCTTACTTTTGTGTTGGATTTCGACAATATCAAGGCTTCTATGTACAATCTCGCTGTGTTTTGTAATTATGTTACACTTGGAAAGTGGAGTAATTTTTTCACGTATCCATTCTGCTTCTCATTCATATATAGTCGGATGTGGTGTAAGTGGCGAGACAGAATAAGAACAAAAACCGTTCATACATCGGAAGTTTACCGTGCCTCGAATAACGTCTGCAAACATTTTTTGTACGCTTATACAATTTAGGCTGCCTCGTGCTCAGACAAAAATCCATAAATACGCATTTTCCTGCCTTCGTAAGTATCTGTACCCAGCTTAATCCACGTTATATAATATAGCATCTAATTACATAGCTTTTTTTTTGTTTGTAAACCCACGATTCTTTTTATAGAATCACGGAACACTCAAGTTTCCGTCTAAGAAAAATCATTCAATCATTCAATCTGAGGTAACATTTCGTGTAGTTATAAAGCTTCACAACGGTATCTTTTAATTCGAACGTGTCTTTACTTTAAAGCTAAAGTAGCGTATTATACCGGGTGGGGCATTTATATTAAAACAAAATAATGGACTCGATTATTTCGAAAAATATTTCAGACAAAGATTGTAGGGCACCGAGGGTCCATTGAAAGGTCCATATTACTACTTCCGGTCTAGACCGGAAGTGGTGTTTGTAGACCATAAGTTGATTTTTTTAAATGGAAACACTCATTTTCTACTACGGAAAAAAATAAATACTTTTTGTTGTTATTATTTTTTCGATTTAACCCATATTTTGGCCATAAAATGGTCATAAAAAAACAAAAAAAAAACAAGAATCTTGAGACAACAGAGTACCTTGTTGGGATCACTTAAAAAAAATGTTTCATACAAAAGTTGTGGGATGAAGGGGCTATCTTGACATGATCTTAACCTTGACTTCAAGGTCGTTTGAAGATCAAATACACACTTCAGTCTTCAGCATTAAAAAAAATAACTTCCGGTCTTAAAAATGCCACTTCCGGTCCTTTTAATGGTCCTCTCGGTGCCCTACAATTTTTCTTTGAAACTTTTTCGAAATAATCGAGTCCAACTGATTTTGTCTCAAGATAAATGCCCCACCCGGTATAATAATTTCAATGTGTCACTGTTTTCAATAATATTTAGACATATATTTTGGTGTAATGGGCAAAAATTAGAGTCCTTTTTAATTTAGTGTAATTTTTTTAATTTTCTTCTAGTTTCGGCTGTTATCCTTCAGGAAAGAAGAAACTATAATATACAGGAAACAACAAACTTCAACATGTAAACAAAGAGAAAAAAGTAGAATATGTATATAGAGTGTCCCAAAATTCACGCAAGATTTAAATTATGCGCCATTTGTGCAGTAGTGTTGCCAACGAAAAAAAAGCAGCGTGACAGCTGAATTATCAAAAATGGAGATCTACACAAAAGAATAACGCGTTTTCATTCTTCTTCCCTGAATAATAGTCTAAACTAGTAGGAAAGAATATTTAAAAAAAATTATGTTGAATTGAATAGGAATCTAATGGATTTTCGTCAAGTAGACGTGATATTTTTTTATTTTTATTTGGATAATTACACAGCCACACAAAAAAAAAGTTGGGTATACTTTTTATGCGACATATATATTTCGTAGTAATTTGGCCTCCTGAACACGAATCTGGGATCAGAATTGGCCCATCACGTCGCAATTTTTTCCTAACCTCAAAAAACTTGTGAAAAATAGTAAAAATTGATGAAAATTTACTGGGAAAATTTGGAAAAAAATTGATTTCCTCATCAAATAGTACATTTTTATGTACAAGACTGCTGAATTCAAATCCACTGTCAGAATTGAGCTAGAACGTGTGGTTTTTTTTCTAACCTCAATATATGTCGCATAAAAAGTATACCCAACTTTTTTTTTGTGTGGCTGTGTTATTATTAATTGTTTACTAGATATTGCTAGTGTAATTCAATGGTAAGTTGGGGCATGTATCCCATAGAGTAGTTGTTTCCCACATAATCGTCAACTAAAAATCTTGTCTATGAAGATAGATATATTTGCATATCTAAGCTTTTGATGTCATAGAACGTTGATTTTATTTGATAAGATTTTTATGAAAAAAAATTAATTAATTTCATACCTCGTTAAGTAAAAATACGGTAGCTAATAATAAAATATATATAGGGTATAAGAAGTTTGAGTGCCATTACTTCAGCATGAGAGAGAGAGTAATCATAAATTAACAAAAAACTTGTACTTATATTACAGGGGCGTAGGATTAACAGTTTTCAAAATACAGCGAGTATTATTGTCACAACGTGACAACAGCGCTTAACCTAATGTTACACAGCTGATGCACACCACGTGTGCACGCGGCAGATTTGTCCTACGGAATAACAGAAATTAACAACTATTATTGTGAAATATTTAGTAAATTTCAAGACAATTGTTTTCCAATTTTTAAATAAATAATATAAAATGTATTGATTTTGTAGTAAGAAGACTGTTGTGCTTAAATTTTAGCTCGAATTTTAGTAATTAGGAATTTGAAAAATATGTAATTAAAGAACCCAAAGTTTCCCGTTATCCAAATAATTACGTATTAAAAATAATTTAGGTACTTACCAAAATGCAAAATTTAGTAATTTGTAAATGCCCAATACAAAACAAACTACAACATATGCTCAAAATGTCCACCACCATTTTCGATGTACGCATGACACCTTCGAATTCAATTTTCGCGAATTCTCTGGAAAATATTAACTGAATTGCGTACTGTTGGTGGTTGGACACCTTAATTTGATCGAATTTTAAATTTATTACAACTAATTATTTTTTAGAATTAAAAAAATTAAAAAGTGATAAACATTGTATTTTATGGTATTCTACGCACGCAGTTATGTCAATATTCCTTAATTAATCGAACTTTTGTACAAGTTGAATATTTTGATAATTTTTTTCTCGGAAATGATTGAGTTTAGGACCCGTGTCATATAAAGTTTTTTTGTTTACTTTAATGTATTCTATCGTATGCTAAAATTAAGGCAGTCAAACTTTTAACACCCTGTACTTAAAGAAAATCCAAACAATAGATTCATTGTTTGTTTTGCTTTCAAGTGCATAAAAATATGTAACTTTCTAGCTTAACATACTGGAAGATGAAGAACGGTCCACCCAGTACATTTTAATTAATCAAACTTCTGATTCATGTTAAATAACACTGTAACTTCCTGCAGGTTCACATGGAAGAGATTAAGCTTCATAAAAGGTTCCAGCGAGGTTAAAATCCGATGGGACATAAGGGACCACGTGCAGCCGGGTACCTACAGAATCAGGCACTTCGGCCACTATAAATTCATCCTGGGCGGAATCTACGCCTACGAAGGCGCCACCAATACCTTCCGAGTTGTGGCCTAATGAGCGTCGCTTAATTCCAAAGCTCGAATTATTTATGTGATTTAGTTAAGTATTATCTTGCCAAAAATAAAATATGTAAAAATCAAGTTTTTTATTTTTTATAATCAACGAATCTGAAAGATTTACTCTGCATCCAAAAATATTGAAGGTCTTGGTACCAAACTTCATCTAAGGAGAGAACATAAACGGCAATGTCCTGGAATGCTGTTTTAGTCGAGGAAATAAAGCACTAAAAACGGCCTTACTTCCGAAATCTGTGCAGTAAGATGGATCGTGATGCAGTTTTTTGCATTCGATTCGTTAGAGCGTCCAGAAAGTTTGTGAACCTATGTGGAAATGAAAATTGCATCGGTGCATAAGAAAAATGCATTTTTAAAATTGCTTCTCGAAGAGTTAAAAAATGAGAAATTTATAACTTGGAAAATATTGACGGAAATGAGTTCAATTTTGCTACTCGGGTGGTTTTAGGGGTCGCTGAAGACGAATATCATGACGGCAACGGTCTTCGAGGTATCTAGTGCCCAAGGTGGCCGGTTTCCACGTCGTCTCCTGGAGTTTTATGGAAATTTTTGGGGTCGTTCAACACGAATATCACGACGGTAACGGTCCTCCAGGTACCTAGTATCCAGGATGGCTGGTTTCTGTGACAACTATTTTATTCTTAATTATTTTTTATTATAAAAATACATTTATTCAGATATCTTTACTATTTTAATTTTTCTTATTTCACGTGTGCGCTATAACTTGGAGCGTATCTTTTTATACTAGTATGTGTAAAAATATACAATACGCGCCTAAAGTGTGGAATAAATTCAGTAAAAACGAAACAAATTTTTTTTGGGAAAAATCCTCGAACAGGTCGATTTTTAATTTAAAAAATACATATTTTAGCATAAAAGGCGATTTTCAACAGTCATTTGTTTTCGAGTAATGACGTCATCAACATGTTTTTAAATAGCAACCCCCTATTTTTTTTCTTGATTTTGAAAGATCGTTTCATTGTCGATTCGACAGTATTAAAATGTTGCCATCTTACATAGGAAAGTTTTCGAGTAAATGACGATTGAATGTTAGAAAACCCAAATCAATTAAAATAAAGCAAAAACGTTTTTAGTTTTTTTAAAGTATTATGGCACATTTAACTGTTACATAAAGAATTGAAATTTTAATTCTTATCGGATAAAACTAGAACGCAGCAGGAAGTTTGCGATTTATTTAATGAAAAACATCTAGATCGCCGTATCAGCCAATCAACAGTCAGTAAGATAGAATTTAAATTTAGAGAAACTGTTGTTACAATGTTGTAGATATTCCAAAACCTGGACATCCAAGCGTTAGTGAAGATCACAAACAGAACATTTTGATAAGTATGGTAGATAATCCTCATAATACTTCACGAGTGGTTGCATTAAACAATGACATTAGTTAGACCATAGCGCTACGTATCCTGAGGCAGGAAAAATATCATCACTACAAAATTCAACTTGTGCAGGAACTCAATGAAGACGATCCCTACCGCCGCCTACACTTTTGTGAAATTATGATAGATTTATGTCAAGTAAATAGAGGCCGGCAAATACTTTTTTCAGGCCAGGCCCCGTTTTGTCTCAATGGTACAGTGAACCATCAAACTTGCAGGTATTGGAGTCGGAAAAATCCTCATTGGATGGCAGAGACACTTAAGAAAAACATATATCATATTCCCTCGACTTCTAATTCACCTAGGGCCCCTCAACGAAATTATAATCCAAATTTAAATTCAAGATTAAATCCAAATTTTAGATCAAATTTCCAAAATCAAAATTTCGCAAGACCTCCTTTACCGCCCAGAAACCCAAATTTAAATCAAAATTATAATCGAAATCCACAACCTTCAGGAACGTATCAAAATTATAAAACAAATTATCCAACTCCCATGTCTGGAGTTCAATCATTTGTAAACCAGACGCATAATACGAGGACAAATCAACAAAATTTTAGACATAAACCACCTAGACAAAATTTGCCTAGAATTAATGAAAATTTCAATATCGAAGAACAAAATTACGACCCTAACGTTGACTCTAACTTTGACCCAAACCAAGAATACCAAAATGAGCCGAATTTTGAAACAAATCAGGACGAAGATTACTATCAAAATTACGATCAAGATTTTTCAGAAAACGATCAAAATTTTTGTTTGACCCAGCCTCAGGACAACCAAACATAGTAGAAAATAATATTCAGTTAGCAGCCCAATTGCCATACATCAAAATTTCGCAACATCCTTATCCTCCTTTAAAACTTTTAATTGATACAGGTGCTTCCTATTCTATGTTACGACCTGATATTATAGAAAAAATCTGTCCAAACCAAATTTTCAATTTTTCAACTAAAGTAAAAACATTATTAGGAAAATGTACCATTAAACAAAAAGCTCATATACCTGCATTTTCAGAATTTAATTCGAATCAAAATTTAGAAGTTTTATCTTACGATTTTCATAATTATTTCGATGGACTTATAGGCTATCATGACATGAAAAAATTTAATATGGTTATTGACCTACCTAGTAATAGGCTCATAGGACAAAATTTTAATATTCCCCTGTATTTACGAGACCCTTATGACATAACAAGAAGAGTGACTCTTGCTCCTAACGAATATTTAAAGACAACTATCCCAGTAGAAGTAAATTTCGGTGACGTTTTAATTCCTTTTCAGAATTTAAATAGTATACCCAACACTCACAGAAATTAAATGTGTGGGCTAGAATAGTTGACAACAGAATAGTAGGGCCTTTCTTCTTTAAAGGAACCCTTACAGGAGAAAGATATTTAGAGTTTTTACAAAATGACCTTGTTCCAGCAATTTTTGCTAACGATAAAGACCCTGATATTCCTGATGACACCATATGGTTTCAGCAAGACGGTACACCTCCGCACTATGCACGCCCTGTTCGAGATTTTCTGGATAATTGTTTTCCTAGGCGGTGGATCGGCAGACGAAGACCGATAGAATGGCCCGCGAGATCCCCAGATCTTACACCGCTGGAATTTCTTATGGGGCTACTTAAAGTCCAAAGTGTACGTTAATAGACCACATAATTTAGAACTCCAAAATTGTATTATAGATGAAATACACAGAGTTACCCTAGAAATAATTCATAATGTGCAAGAATTTCTACACAGACTTGCGTATTGTCAAGAAGTCGGTGGGTGGCAATTCAAACACTTAATTTAGGTAGAAAACTTAATCAATTGTATTTGCTTGACATAGGAATTGTTATTTTTTTAATGAATAAAATTTACATTCAATCGTCATTTACTCGAAAACTTTCCTTTGTAAGATGGCAATATTTTAATACTGTCGGATCGACAATGAAACGATCTTTCAGAATCAAGAAAAAAAATAGGGGGTTGCTATTTAAAAAAATGTCGATGACGTCATTACTCGAAAACAAATGACGGTTGAAAATCGCCTTTCATGCTAAAACATGTATACTTTAAATTAAAAATCGACCTGTTCGAGGATTTTTAATCGTTTCGTTTTTACTGAATTTATTCCATACTTTATGCGCGTACTTCAATCGATCTTTCAATCATTAAAAAGTTTTGGCGAATTCGCCAATATCAATACTGGCTACAATAATATAAATTGTGTTTTATATAGATTATTAGTAAAACGTGGAAGCAGCGGCCAGCGATCGCAGTCCTTACTTAAAATTTCATCAACGCTACCAACTGTATTAAAAGCGCCAAATTAAAAAAAAAATGTTTTGGATAATTTATTTAGTTATTCGATAAAGCTTACGAAGATGACATCTGTACCTCGGAGACCATTACCATTGTGATATGAGCGACCCCGAAAACCCCTTGGTAACGAGTTTCGGCTAAGTTTATAACGAATTTCCACAAAACTTCAGGAGACGACGTGGAAATCGGCCACCCTGGGCACTAGGTACCTCGGAGGCCGTTTAAGATTCGTTTGGAAATGAATTGGCCGTGATTATCAAGGCCACTTATCTCAAATCTAATATGATGGAATTTAAATCTCAAAATGGCGAATCTAAGATGGTGAGTTAAAGATTAAAATTCAAAACAATGGAAAAGTTACCAACTATCCTAAAATGGACCGTTGAATGTGATAAAGTAAGGTGTAATAATAAGCAATATTACAAAATTGCAACTAAAGTGTTGGGACCACTTAATGCAACTAACCCAAAAAGTAATGTCGAAAAATAGACAGTAGATCACATCATTACGTAGGGAACAATTAGTATCTGAAGCATTCCTAATTTAAACCAATGAATTGCTATTATGACTGCCATTGTTTGATTTTAATTTCGTAATGTTACATTTGCAATCAGATACTCCTAAAAACGAGCATTCCGAAATCTAATTAAAATTAAAACATCTTCAATTTAATGTGTATCATATGTCCGCCATTTTGGATACTACTTTCTGTAATTTAAAATCATTCATTTCAGATTTACATTGAGCAGTCTTAAAAATGCACCCGTCATTTAAGTGAAGCCAAGATCGGAAATGAGGATTTTTATCGTATATCCGCCATCTTGTATCTGCCATCTTACATCGGTCATTCTGGGACAGAATTGTGGCATGCTAGATTTGTAAGAAGCAATCTTAAGAACCCCGCAAATCCGTTTTCAGCAGGATCCGTTGTTCTTAAAGGCAACTGATGCGAATTCCGTTAATAAATCCGCCATCTTGGATACGTCATTTTATAATTTTGAATCTGTCATAACCTATCTTTAGCATACTATCTTGAATACCTAGTTAATTTATTTTCAAAGCGATCCGATGTACCTAAGGACACTTGATGCCAGTTTTAGCTTTTAGTCCGCCATCTTGGGTCTGCCATTTTGTGATTTAGATTCCATCAGAACAGATTTGAGATAAGTGCCAATTCATTTCCAAATGAATCTGGTATTTTTAAAGGCATTTACATCGGGGTTTGGCCAAAAGTTCGCCATCTTGGATCCGCCATTTTGTGATTCGAATTGTTTTACATCAGGTTCTTGATCAATAACTCCGGTTACTATTTTTAATTCGTTTAAACTCTGAAATTGAAATTTTTGGTCATT